TATTTATATTTATATGTATATATAAATATATATATATAAAAATATATATAAATATATATATATAAAAAAAAAAAGAAATATATATAGTTTGAAATCGCGACTTCTCTAGAGTAAGATATATTTAAAATTATATATATATATATATATATATATATATATATATATATATATATATATATATATATATATATATATATATATATATATATATATATATATATATATATATATATATATATATATATATATATACATATATACAGATTAAGTCAGAATTATTAGCCCCACTTTGATTTTTTTTCTCTGTTTTAAATATTTCTTAAATGATGTTTACCAGAGCAAGGAAATGTTCACAGTATGTCTGATAATATTTTTTCTTCTAGAGAAAGTTTTATTTATTTATTTTATTTTTCTGGTCCATTTAAAAAAAAAAAAAAAAAAAATATATATATATATATATATATATATATATATATATATATATTTATTTATTTATTTATTTATTTATAATGCATAAAAAGATATATGCATAAAAAGATTTATTCGCTTAATAATTTTGCAAGAAAACACATTCATTTCTTAAACTAGAAGAAAATTATAATTTAATATCCAAACATTTAAAAGCAAGGAAAATCATTATTTATCAAGTTTTTAAATGTATATTTATATATATATATATATAAGCAATATCACTCAAACAGCAGTGTGATATGGCTGTATATCGGTACTGGTGGGAGGCGTGCGTTGACACAAGGACGCAAGCCAAGTGCTTTAAAGCCTCACCTGTGACAATATACTGCCAAATCGCTCACGCTACAAGTGTGGTATTGCATTTATACAACAGTTTGACGGCATAATCGTGTATATAAAAAATCAAACACTGAGATTCTCAAAATCCTTTTGCATGAGGAACTACTTTCTTCCGCCATTCATTCACATCTACAGCTGACATCAGAACAGCAGATCATTCTGCTCATTCACCAACGTCACTGTAGAGCTAGTGTTTGAATGATTCTCTAGCCTTATGTCTAAAATGATGACAAAACAGCTGATTTTGCTCACATTTTAAGATTATGAGGCTGAACAGCATGAAATGACCCAATAAATAACCCTGAAAAAGGCAAAGCAAAGCAAACACTTGCAGATTACTGTTGTGTTTGTGATAATGAAAAATGCTTAACACATGCGGGCATTTCTTCTTTCTTTCTGTTTGCTCTAGTCTGCAGTAACGAAAACAGGAGACGCATTAGAAACAGATGGCCATCTCCGGTTTTAAGACTTTAAGATGAGTCCCATCTCACACTCAACACCCTACAAATACTATGGTATAAATACAGCACTACCATATACAAGAGAAAGAGAGAGGTCGACTTAAAGTCCTTTATCTGTATTATAATGATTTGATCAGCTGTAGTTTAAAATTACGCTGTATTTTTCCTTCTCTAATGGCTTACTATAAGGTCTCTGTCACCATCTTGTGGCAGAGCATCAGCTGTCATTGCTCTGCTCAGTATGACAGAATGATGGCTGCCAAATGCTTAATCTCCGAGATTATAAATATTTTAAAATAGGCTGTTATCTTTATAAATAAACTGCATAGTTTCAATCTAAACAACTACATTCTCACCTAAGCCTCAAAAGTCCATTATGTTGTCCAACAGCTGCAATATTTGTCAGACTGTAGTGAGTTTATTGATCTGTTGTCACTCTATGTGGGCGGAGTAATACAGAAGGGTGAAAAGGCTGTACAAGTGCTAATATTACTTTGTTATCTCCAACCAGATTCGAGAACCAGACAAAACTGTTGTACACACACGCTTATTTCAAAATATACACCAAAAGACAACCAAAAATATATTTATTTTTGCAAATGTATGTTCTATAAACCCAAATTTGCCCATGTTTTTTAAGAAACACATTTATTTGTAACACCAGAAGATGTTTATTTAATGTCTAAACGTTCAAAAGCAAGGAACTTACTAATAACACTGACAGACTCCTCCCCCTTCCCATCAGCCAATCACTGTCTGCATAGTTAATAAGCATTATGACATAATCCATGGCAATGAGGTAAACCCTGCTCTCACTCTCAGCTGAAGACTTCCTTGAATGATTTCAGCAGTTTTGTGACTGCGAGATGTTTGTTGTGGCACTGTTCAGCAGAACTCTTGGTACGATCAGATGCTTGTGTAAACACGGGTCCAGGTCAAAATACTGGTTTGTCTTTTCAGCATCATTACTCCAGTCTCCAGTGTCACATGATCCTCAGAAAGGTAATAACATTTCAGTATATTGAATGTTCTATTCATATGTAAATTAGACAGCTTATAAAACGTGTTTTATTTAAAATTTTGTTGTTGTACCTCATAGAATCGTTCATTTTTGTTGTAGTTTCTCACTTGTAAAACACTTTGTGACTGCATTAATATGTTTAAAAAGTGCTATATACAGTAAATAAACACTTCCACACTTAAATGCTCCAGCTTACTGACAGAACAGCAACCACTGTGGAGGCGGGGCTAAAGATAGTGAGGCTCCATCGGATTGGTCAAATTTAGATAAACAACCAATGCATAAAATAAATCTAAATTATCACACATCTGCAATACTTATATTGCATATGCAGTACTATAACAATCATTTTGCAATACATTAAGCAGCCCTAGACTACATATATCCTATTATTTAATACAGAATATGTTATTGCATCGGTAGCGTAGAGGTTGCATTATTCATTATATTGCAGAATAGAAAAAAAGAAAACATACTTGTGTAATTTTTTATTTCCGTGCCATTCTTATCAAACTAAAAGTCCCAACTTAATGATTGTGTTTGAGTGTGATTTAGAAGCAGCATGACTGTGTGTGTGTGTGTGTGTGTGTGTGTGTGTGTGTGTGTGTGTGTGTGTGTGTGTGTGTGTGTGTGTATTCAGAGCTTAGGGAGTCCAGCCACCATCTCACTCTCAATCCCACATTCATCATGGCCTCTGAGGATCTTAAAATAACCTGCACAGATTTACACAACAACTGCATCAGATTGAGCGGCAAAACAATATTGACAGAACATTGCCATAATGTTTGTCATTACATTATGAAGCAATAATTTATCATAAAATAATTACGCTTTTTATGTAAAATTTAATAATAACTAATTATTTGAATAATAATGAATATATTATAATTAATAAATAAATAATCTACTTTTTATGAGTTTCAAACAGTTTTTAGAGATAAAAAATATAGTTATGTATCTAAGTGTTTAAAAAGTAATCTATTCAACCGGATGAACAGTAATCTATGTGGTTGAAAAAATAATATATCTAAGCCGTTGAAAGGTAATCTAACGGTTAAAAAGTAATCTAAGCAGCAGAAAAGTGATCTATTCAACCGATTGAAAAGTAATCTAAGTAGATAGAAAAGTAATCTGTTCAAGTGGTTGAAAAGTAATCTATCTAAGCAGTTGGAATGTAATATAAAGGTTAAAAAGTAATCAAAGCATTTAAAAAAGTAATCTATCTAAGTGGTTGAAAAGTAATCTAAGCATTTGAAAAGTAATCTATCTAAGTGGTTGAAAAGTAATCTATCTAAGCATTTGAAAAGTAATCTAAGTGGTTGAAAAGTAATCTAAGCGGCTGAAAAGTAATTAATTGGTTGAAAAGTAATCTTTCTAAGTGGTTATAAAATAGTCTAAGCTGTTAAAAAGTAATCTATCTAAGCGGTAGAAAAGTAATTATCTAAACAGTTGTAAAGTAATCTGTTCAAGAAGCTAAAAAGTAATCTAAGCAGTTCAAAAGTAATTAAATGGTTGAAAAGTAATCTAAGTGGTAGAAAAGTAATCTGTCTAAGCATTTGAAAAATAATCTGTTAAAGTAGTTGTAACGTAATCTATCTAAGCAGTTGAAAAGTAATCAAAGCAGTTAAATTGTAATTGCCTAATAAGTCGAAAAGTAATCTAAGCGGTTGAAAAGTAATTTAAGTGGTTGAAAAGTAATTAAGCAATTAAAAAGTAATCGAAGTGGTCGAAAAGTAATTATCTAAGCATTTGAAAAGTAATCTGTTCAAGTGGTTAAAAAGTAATCTATCTAAGAGGTTGAAAGTAACCTATCTAAGTAGTTGCAAAGTAATCTATCAAAGCAGTTGAAAAAGTACTCTAAGTGATTGAAAAGTAATATATCTAAGCGGTTGAAAAGTAATCTATCGAAGTGATTGAAAAGTAATGTATTTTAATGGTTGAAAAGTAATCAAACGGTTAAAAAGTAATCTAAGCAACTGAAAAGTAATCTATTTAAGCGATTGAAAAGTAATCTAAATAGATGGAAAAGTAATCTGTTCAAGTGGTTGAAAACTCATCTACCTAAGCGGTTGAAATGTAATCTAATGGTTAAAAAAATAATCTAAGCAGCTGAAAAGTAATCTATCTAAGCAGTTGAAAAGTAATCTAAGTGGTTAAAAAGTACTTTAAGCTGTTGAAAAGTAATTATCTAAGCATTTGAAAGGTAATCTGTTCAAGTGGTTGAAAAGTAATCTATCTAAGAGGTTGAAAGTAATCTATCTAAGTAGTTGAAAAGTTATCTATTAAAGCAGTTGAAAAGTACTCTAAGTAGTTGAAAAGTAATCTATTTAAATGACTGAAAAATAATCTATCTAAGTGGTTGAAAAGTAATTAAACGGTTAAAAAGTAATCTAAGCAGCTGAAAAGTAATCTATTTAAGTGATTGAAAAGTAATCTAAGTAGATAGAAAAGTAATCTGTTTAAGTAGTTGAAAACTAATCTATCTAAGCGGTTAAAATGTAATCTAACGGTTAAAAAAAATTGAAGCAGCTAAAAAGTAATCTATCAAAGCGATTAAAAAGTACTCTAAGTGGTAAAAAGTAATCTATCTAAGCAGTTGAAAAGTAATCTGTTTAAGTGTTTGAAAAATAATCAATCTATGCAGTTGAAAAGTAATTATCTAAGCATTTGAAAAGTAATCTATCTAAGTGGCTGAAAAGTAATCTATTTAAATGACTGAAAAGTAATCTATCAAAGTGGCTGAAAAGTAATCTATCCAAGCATTTAAAAAGTAATTTAAGTGGTTGAAAAGTAATTTATCTAAGCGGTTGACAAGTAATTAATTGGTTGAAAAGTAATCTTTCTAAGTGGTGGAAAAATAGTCTAAGCTGTTGAAAAGTAATCTATCTAAGAAGTTGAAAAGTAATCTATTTAAATGACTGAAAAGTAATCTATCAAAGTGATTGAAAAGTAATAGATCTGAGAGGTTGAAAAGTAATCTGTCTAAGCAAATAAAAATTTACTTTTCAAGTTATTAAAAAGTAACCTGGTTAAAAGATTAAAAAGTAATCTGTCTAAGCGGCTGAAAAGTAATTAAGCATTTGAAAAGTAATCTAACTGGATAAAAAGTCATTTATCTAAGTGGTTGAAAAGTAATCTAAGTGGTTTAAAAGTAATCTATTTAAGTGACTGAACAGTATTATATCTAAGTGGTTAAAAAGTAATCTATCTAAGCAGTTGAAAAGTAATCTAAGCAGTTAAAAGGTAATTAGGTGGTTAAAAGTTATCTAAGCAAATGGAAAGTAATCTACCAAAGCAGTTGAAAATTACTCTACGCTGTCAAAAAGCAATCAAAACAGTTGAAAGTAATCTGTCTAAGCTGTTGAAAGTAATCTGTCAAAGCAGTTGAAAAGGAATCTATCTAAGTGGTTGAAAAGTAATCTAAGTAGTTACAAAAAATAAGCGGTAAAAAGTAATCTGTTCAAGTGGTTGAAAACCAATCTATGTATGCGGTTAAAAGTATTCTAGCTGGTTGGAAAGTAATCTTTCTAAAGCAGTTGAAAAGTAATCTATCTAAGCATTTGAATAGTAATCTAAGAGTTTGAAAAGTAATCTAAGCAGTTCAAAAGTAATCTAAGCGGTTCAAAAGTATTTAAGCAGTTGAAAAAGTAATCTAAGTAGTTGAAAAGTAATCTATGTGTTTGAAAAGTAATCCAAGTCGTTGAAAGTAATCTATCTATGTGTTTGAAAAGTAATCTAAGTCGTTGAAAAGTAATCTATCTATGTGTTTGAAAAGTAATCTAAGTAGTTGAAAAGTAATCTATCTATGTGTTTGAAAAGTAATCTAAGTAGTTGAAAAGTAATCTATGTGTTTGGAAAGTAATCCAAGTCGTTGAAAAGTAATCTATCTATGTGTTTGAAAAGTAATCTAAGTCGTTGAAAAGTAATCTATCTATGTGTTTGAAAAGTAATCTAAGTCGTTGAAAAGTAATCTATCTATGTGTTTGAAAAGTAATCTAAGTCGTTGAAAAGTAATCTATCTATGTGTTTGAAAAGTAATCTAAGTAGTTGAAAAGTAATCTATGTGTTTGGAAAGTAATCCAAGTCGTTGAAAAGTAATCTATCTATGTGTTTGAAAAGTAATCTAAGTCGTTTAAAAGTAATCTATCTATTTGTTTGAAAAGTAATCTAAGTCGTTCAAAAGTAATCTATCTATGTGTTTGAAAAGTAATCTAAGTCGTTGAAAAGTAATCTATCTATGTGTTTGAAAAGTAATCTAAGTCGTTGAAAAGTAATCTATCTATGTGTTTGAAAAGTAATCTAAGTCGTTGAAAAGTAATCTATCTATGTGTTTGAAAAGTAATCTAAGTCGTTGAAAAGTAATCTATCTATGTGTTTGAAAAGTAATCTAAGTCGTTGAAAAGTAATCTATCTATGTGTTTGAAAAGTAATCTAATTTGTTGAAAAGTAATCTATCTATGTGTTTGAAAAGTAATCTAAGTCGTTGAAAAGTAATCTATCTGAGCAGTAAAAAGTAATTAATTGGTTTAAAAGTACTCTTAAGCAGTTAAACTAGCATTAACTAATGGACTAAATTTTTTAAAGTGTTACCGTCATATTTATTATATAATATAGTTTATTATTTTTGGTTAATATTCATAGTTTTGTAACAGTTAATTTGATACTGCATTATTTCTATACTAACAGTATTTTGCACAGAGACTATAGTGTTTTGGACCATTAGTGTGTGTTTTTTCTAACCGTTGTCGCCCCAGTCTGAGTTCCAGGAATTTGCCACCAGCCAGAAGGGTGTCCCGTTTTCTTCTCCCCAGCCGAGGATCTTCACTGCGTGTCCACCGAGAGCAGAACCAGTGAGATGCTGATAAACACCTGATGAACATAGTAAACAGGCTTATACTAACTACAGTATTATAATGGATAAGTGTGTGTTTGTGTGTAGTGTTATCATGTATAAGTGTGTGTGTGTGTGTTTTCTGACCGCTCTTATACAGTGGAAAGTCCTCATAAACAGTAAACGCCGCCTCTACAGGGCCGTTGGTGTAAAGTTCAGTCATGATCTGCTGCTGGTCCGATGGGACGTTGTACACTTTAGAGCCTGCAGGGGGCGACAGACTCAGTCAAGGGCTCTCAGTAGTGAACAGAGGAAGGCCAGCAGATACAGATACTCACCAAAGTGTTTGTCCTGTTTGTAGGGGACGCTGTATTTTGGGATACAAACCCCTGTGCATTTGGGTGTGTCCTGTTCACCTGAACACGGCGGTCGAGTGCCGTTCACATGATGCTCACAGGGAGCGATGGAGTACGGTCTGCAGCCTGCACACACACACACAAACAACTCAGAGACAAGGAAATATACCCTGTAATGCTTTGATTTGTTTTATTTTATTTTATTTTTTATGTTATTTAATTTTTTTTATTTTATTTTAATTAAATTTAAAGATTAGTTTGTTTTAACTTTTATTTCAATTTTATTTTATGTAATTTTTATTAAAATTTTATTTTATTTTATTTAAATTTTATTTTTTTTAATAAATTTTACTTTATAAAATTTTTATTTCAATTTTATTTAATTAAATTTTAATTTAATTAAAATTTTACTTAATTTTTTATTTACATTCTATTTCATTTTATTTTAATTCAGTAAAATCTTATTTTATTTAAATTTATTAAATGTTTATTTAAACATATTTTTCATATTTTTATATGTAGTATAAACTTTTAATTTAATAATAGATTTTTTGTTTGTAATTTATTTTAAATTATTGCCAATATTTAGTTATAATTTAATTTAATTTTTCAATTTTTATTACATCATCAGAAGTTGTCTGCCATTCCAGAGCAGAAGCAGATGGGCAGACATTGAATAATATTACTTATACACACACGCACACACACACACACACACACACACACACACACACACACACACACACACACACACACACACACACACACACACACATATATATATATATATACACAAATACACACACACACACACACGCACACACATATATGTGTATGTGTGTGTGTGTGTGTGTGTGTGTGTGTGTGTGTGTGTGTGTATTTTAGTGCATTAACGCGTGCGATTAATTAGAAAATTTTAATGCATTAAAAAAAATTAACGCAATCGACGCAGTTGCAGGTGGACGTGTGTTCAACATTCAAAGAAATATGGATAAGACCAAGGAAGCACTTTTTGAAGGAAAGTTTCAGTATAAAACAATTAATGTGGCATCACCATGCTCTCCAGAGATTCATGTAATTTCAGGTATTTCATTTTTAACTTTCGACTTTTTTTTCAATGGAATTTGAAAAACCTTCGCATTTCGTGACTCGGTGTTCCTTTAAGGTAATCAAAAATCGCTGCTTACACGGTAGACTTTTAATAAGAGTATAATCTTATTCACATTAAAATCGGAGTATTGGTGTCTTATGTAAATGTACTCAGAAAGTCTCTAGTGAAGTCGCGAGCTGTCAAAGATAGCGCATTACTCTGCCTTTCAGCATGCGCCCTCCAATGTTTCGTTAAGTTTAACGTGTTTCCTCATTAAACACAACGAATGTGTCAGCTTTGCGTCGTTGTGTCAGAATCCTTGTGAAATACAGCCATACTTAAGAACATTTAGTTTAAGCATATTTGATGAACGCGATCATGCGTGTTAAATCTGAAGGAAGTCGCTCCAGCGCGTTGTGTGTGCGTCTGTGTGTGTGTCTGTGTCAGGCACGTTGAGGGGTGGAGTGAGCGACGAACTTGAATGGGTAAGTGTGCACGCGAGACGTACCTAAAGAGCAGTGGGGTTGAATTGTGCGCGACGTACCTGAAGAGCTAGGAGGGATACGGTGGAGAGGGGTGTGCAATGTATTTAAGGACCGGGTGGGAGACGTGCGACTTATTATTATAATTTTCAATTTTCCATATCTGTAATGCCTGTATTTTGCCATTTTTGCAGTCCACTTAGAATCCAACATGGAAATCAATGTTTTCTTTATTGGCATTGATTGTTTTGAAATTCAAATGGCATTGACATGCCTGTGTTTTAATTTCTGTAAAAAATATGGCTGTCAAGCAGGATCTTGATGGTTTATTGTGATTATGTTGTTTACATGCAGAAATCTGTGTTACAAGTTAAACAAAATTTCTAATAATGAATTATATTTTGAATTTAAATAGTATTTGTCTTGCGTTTACATTAATTTTACATTTGATTAGCCATAATTACAAGTGTCAGTCTTTTAAATGCGATTAATATACTAACATATAATAAAGATGATCCAGACTCACCCACATCAGAGTTGTACAGTCCTCCAGTCACTAGGCCGGATCTTCTCCAGTAATCCCAGGCTTCAGCCGGAAAACCTCCAGAACAGCTGACAGAGAGAGAGATTCAATAAACATGTTCCACATGAATAAATACGATGGTAATTTAGAGTAAATAACTGTGTTTTGAACCATACTATAGTAACATATTATACTGTATACATTAAAGCATGGCGAAGCGGTGGCGCAGTGGGTAGTGCTGTCACCTCGCAGCAAGAAGGTCGCTGGTTTGAGCCTTGGCTGGGTCAGTTGGCATTTCTGTGTGGAGTTAGCATGTTCTGCCTGCGTTTGCGTGAGTTTCCTCCGGGTGCTCCGGTTTCCCCCACAGTCCAAATACATGTGGTACAGGAGATTTGAGTAGGCTAAATTGGCGGTTATGAATGTGTGTGAATGAGTGTGTATGGATGTTTCCCAGTGATGGGTTGCAGCTGGAAGAGCATCCACTGCGTAAAACATATACTGGATAAGTTGGGGGTTCATTCTTCTGTGGCGACCCCGGATTAATAAAGGGACTAGTCCAAAATGAAAATGAACGAATGAAACTGTGGTGTACTATAGTATAATATACTCCTATAGCGTCATTTGCTTATATAACTATAGTTGTTGTGTTCCCATAGCAACTGTAGAATCACCACAACAGATGAAATACTATAGTTGTTGTGTTACCATAGCAACTACGGAATCGACCTAAACGGATTAAAAACTACAGTGGTTGTGTTACCATAGCAACTACGGAATCACCACAACAGATCAATTACTGTAATTATTGTGTTTTCAAAGCAACTATAGAATCACCATATCAGAATATACTATAGTTGTTGCGTTACCATAGCAACTGTAGAATCACCACAACAGAATAATACTATAGTTGTTGTGTTACCATAGCAATTCTAGAATCACCATAACAATAAACACTATGGTTGTTGTGTTACCATAGCAACTGTCACCAAAAGTTAATTCCAGTACTTTAGTACAGTTCTTGATCAGACGCACCCGAATCCACACTGATCACAGCAGGACAGCAGATCTTCAGCTGAGATCTCCGGAGACTGCTTCCCTTTACTGTGGATGCAGATACGATCAGAGATGGACTCCACTGCACCGAACGCCTGCACAACACACACACACACACACACACACACACACACACACACACACACACACACACACACACACACACACACACACACACACACATATATAAAATATTGTGTGTTAATATTTTCAATATTGTTGTCTAATTGTTACAATATTTAAAAACAATTTCTGTACACACAACAACACAAAACATGCACACAAACAATACACACACACACAACACAACATAGAGACAAACACATACAACACACAACACAATGCAGTGCATCCTGAAAGTATTGATGTCGCTTCACTTTTTCCACATTTGTTTATGTTACAGTCTAGTTCCAAAATGGATTCAATTGATTTTTTTCCTCAACATTCTACACACAATCCCCCATAATGACAATGTGAACAAAGAGTTTGAAATTGTTACAAATTTATTAACAATAAAAAAAGCTGTAAAATCAGATGTACATCAGTATTCACAGGCTTTGCTCAATACTCTGTTGATGCACGTTTGTCAGTGATTACAGCCTCAAGTCTTTCTGAATATGATGCACAAGCTCTGCTCATCTGTCTTTGGGAATATTCGGCCGTTCCTCTTTGCAGTACCTCTCAAGCTCTATCAGGTTGGATGGGAAGCGACGGTGTGCAGCCATTTTCAGATCTCTCCAGAGAAGCTCAATAGGATTTAGGTCTGGGCTCTGGCTGGGCCACTCAAGGATATTCCCTGAGTTGTTGTAAAGCCACTCCATTGATATTTTGGCGGTGTGCTTTGGGTCATTGTCCTGCTGGAGGATGAAGCGTCGCCCCAGTCTGAGGTGGAGAGCACTCTTGTGCAGGTCTTCATTCAGGATGTCTCTGTACATCGCTGCATTCATCTTTCCCTCTATCCTGACTAGTCTTCCAGTTCCTGCTGCTGAAACACATCCCCACAGCATGATGCCAACACCACCATGCTTCACTGTAGGGATGCTGTTAGCCTGGTGATGAGCGCTGCCTGCTGTTCTCCAAACGTAACGCCTGGCGTTCACTCCAAACAGTTCAGTTTGAGTCTCATCAGAGCAGAGAGTTTAGTTTCTGATGCTCTGAGAGTCCTTCAGATGCAAACTCCAGGCGGGGAGTGTCTTCCGTCTGGACACTCTACCATACAGGCCTGATTGGTGGATTGCTGCACAGATGGTTGTCCTTCTGTAAGGTTCTCCTCTCTCCACAGAAGAACGCTGGAGCTCAGACAGAGTGATCATCGGGTTATTGATCAACTCCCTGACTAAGGCCCTTCTCCCCCGATCGCTCAGCTTAGATGTCCGGCCAGCTCTAGGAAGAGTCCTGGTGGTTCAACATCTTCCACTTACGGATGATGGAGGCCGCTGTGCTCATTGGAACTTTCAGAGCAGCAGAAATGTTTCTGTAAGCTTCCCCAGCCTTGTGCCTCCAGACAATCCTGCCTCAGAGGTCTACAGACAATTCCTTTGACTTCATGCTTGGTTTGTGCTTTGACATGCACTGTCAACCCTGGGCCCTTATATAGACAGGTGTAGCCTTTAAATCATGTCCAATCAGCTGAATTGAGCACAGGTGAACTCCGATGAAGCTGCTGAAACATCTCCAGAATGATCAATGGAGACAGAATGAACCTGAGCTCCATTTAGAGCTTCACACCAAAGGCTGTGAATACTGATGTACATGTGATTTATCAGCTTTTTTATAATTAATAAATTTGCAACAATTTCAAAAACTCTTTGTTCACATTATGTTCATGTTCTCATTATGGAGGATTGTGTGTAGAATGTTCAGGAAATAAATAAATTAAATCCCTTTTGGAATTCCTAATCTGCAATTGCCTCTCTGGATATACCACTAACTGTACTCAAAAAATAATAATAATAATAATAAAAAAAATGACTAATGCTTTCCTTCTTACACTTTACACACCTGAATCTTGCCTATAGCACTTATTCATTGTTGCTCTTATTGTTGTGTAAATTGCTTCCTTGTCCTCATTTGTAAGTCGCTTTGGATAAAAGCATCTGCTAAATGACCAAACGTAAATGTGGAATAAGGCTGTAACATAAACAAATACGGAAAGCGACATCAATACTTTCAGGATGCACTGTACACAAATAACATGCACAATACACACACAAGTCTGTCTGAGTGCACTTGTGTTAGTGTCTGTGTGTGTACATGTGTATGCATGTGTGTACTAGTGCGTTTTTGTCTGCTCGTGTGTGCGATGTATGCACGTGTGTGTGTGTGTGTGTGTGTTCGTCTGTCTGTCTGTGTCTCTATTGTGTGTGTGCATGTGTGGGTGTGCTTTACCCAGCAGGAGCCGCAGGACCCTTGGTCTCGGATCTGGTTGAGGGTCTTACAGTTCGGCCACTGGTCCCGCAGGTCAAAACTGTCTGGAAGCTTCACGTTTGTGGAGTGTTTCACACTGCAGATGGAGAAAACACACACACACACACACACACACACACACACACACACACACACATACAGAGAAAATCAGTTCATTTTCAACTGCACTCACAGAAAACTAGAAACCTTCTCCAGACTTTTGCTAATCTTTTAGCAAAGTTCTCTCAAGATTAGGAATAAGACTTTCTCTGATTTGTTTTCTTTACATTTGTTTATGCTTCTACTATAGTTGAATGCTTGATTCTGATTGGCTGATGAACCTTCTAGGGTGTGCTGTTATTCTGAGGAAGGTTTATTTCCAGAACCTTTACACTCTCTGTTCCTAAATAAATATTATAATAAACACAACCAAAAATGTGCTGCTTTACACTTCATATGACATCACACCGCGGGTGTGTTGAATGCTGTATTCTGATTGGCTGAGGTCATTCTGAGGTGTCTGGTTATTGTCAGATAAACGTACAGCACACACACACAAACAACTCAGGGACCAGAAAACGTACACCAATTTTTATTTAAATTACATCTTATTTTATTTAAATTTACTACATTTTATTTACATTTTAATTTAATAACATTTTAAAACATTTTATTTACATTTTATTTTATTTAACTTTATTTTATTTGACTTTTATTTACATTTATATTTTAAAATATAATACAGATTTTAGATTTATTAATAAATTGTTTGATTAAAATGATTGCCAATATTTAGTTATTATGAACTGATTGGCTGAGAATCACTCTAAGGTGTTAATGTCAGATAAATGCACAGCACACACACACACACACACACACACACACACACACACACACACACACACACACACACACACACACACACACACAATTTTATTTAATTTTATTTTATTTGCGATTTTTTTAATGTATTAAATTTTATTTACATTTAATTAACATTTTTAAATATTTTATTTACAATTTATTATTTTTTTACTTTTTTATTTGACTTATTTATATTTTATTTAAATGTAATTTTTTTTAAGCATATATTTAATATTTTAAAATTTAATACAGATTTTAGTTTTAATAATTAAATTGTTGGATAAAACTTATTGCCAATATTTAGTTATTATGAACTGATTGGCTCATGATCATTCTAAGGTGTTCGGTTATTGTCAGATAAAGGCACAGCTAGTAGTTCCGGCAGGTTTTGAGCACATCACAGCTCCATATCTTTACGCTGAATGATTTGAGTGATTTCACAGCTACAACAATCAAATACTCAGCTCTGATTGGCTCATGATCATTCTAAGGTGTTCGGTTACTGTCAGATAAACGCACAGCTAAAGTAGTTCCGGCAGGTTTTAAGCACATTACAGCTCCATTTCACTTCACTGAATGATTACAGTTATTTCACAACTACAACAGTCAAAAATGACATCAAAACACAACAGATGGATTTGGAGGAGACGTGTGAGAAACTAGTGCTGCAGCTAAGCTTGCAATGCATTTGTTTAAATAATAAATTCCACCAACACATTAGTTTTGGACTCACGTATGTGGCAATCTTGGGCCCTTCAGAACCGTCCCACACAGAGATTTCAGATATTTTTTTGGCACATTGTCGAAATTGACACCTGCCTGTGAAGAAATGAAAGAAAGGATTAAGAAAAGAGGAACAAAGGAGCGTGAACAGCTGTGGTTCCACTGCATAGAGTTATATATAAAGATATTCAGTTTGAGAACAACACTAAAAATATTTCCTAAATGATGTTAAACAGATTGAGGAGTTTTTCACAGTATTTCCTATAATATTTTTTCTTCTGGAGAAAGTCTTATTTGTTTTATTTCTGCTAGAATAAAAGCAGTTTTTAATTGTTTTAGACCCATTTTAAGGTCAATATTATTAGCTCTCTTAAGCAATATTAGTTTTGGATTGTCTCCAGAACAAACCACTGTTATACAATGACTTGCCTAATTACCCTAACTTTACCCTAATTACCCTAGTTAAGCCTTTAAATGTCACTTTAAGCTGAATACTAGTGTCTTGAAGAATATCTAGTCTAATATTATGTGCTGTCATCATGGCAAAGATAAAATATATCAGCTATTAGAGATGAGTTATTAAAACTATTATGATTAGAAATGTCTTGAAGAAAATATTCTCATCGCTAAACAGAAATTGGGGGGAAAATACAGCAAAATATGTTTGATTAAATAATAAAGAGACGAAACTAACTCCACACTCACCGTCCATGTGCTTCTGGCTGCATTGATGAAGCTGATCATCTCATCATGTGTGTGAAGCTGTGGACGAGCACACGTAACGGACAGAAGAGCGAACACACACACACGCCACATCCTCACACTGCAGGAGGAGAGAAGATATTCAAGATCAATATTCACTATTACTGTAAATTAATAAGTGTAACTATTGATTCATTTTCCTTCGGCTTGGTCCCTTATTTTTCGGGGTCGCCACAGCGGAATGAACCGCCTTCTTATTCCAGCATATGTTTAACAGAGTGGATGCTCTCCCTGCTGCAACCCAGTACTAGGAAACACCCATACACACTCATTCACACACACTCTCATGCACTACAGCCAATGTAGTTGATCAATTCCCCTATAGCGCATGTGTTTGGACTGTGGGGGAAACCGGAGCACCCGGAGGAAACCCACGCCAACACGAGGAGAACATGCAAAACTCCACACATTAACACCAACTGACCCAGCCGGGACTTAGCGACATTCTTGCCGTGAAGCCACAGTGCTAACCACTGAGCCACCGTGTCGCCCATGCATAAAATCATTTAAAGCAAGTGATAAAACATTATTTAAACATTTGTGAATGGAAAATGCATTTCAGGACTAATAAAATTACTAATGATTTTTTTTATAAAACACATTTTTGTGCAAATCTTTTTTATTATTTTTTTTAATATTAGACTTTTATGTTAAAATATTAAACATTTGTGATAAGCATTGCTGGTTAGCGCGCTGACATATGTTGTGGTAGCACTTCAGGGCGTCCCGAGATCGAATCCCGGCTCAAGGACATTTCCCAACCCTATCCCCCTCTCGAAATGTCTGGCTGCAGACCTGGTGCAGTGCAATCTGTGCTGCATCCAATGCTTTTTAATGGGCTCACCTAACCCCACCCTTCGCAGTGACGTCACTCGCTCCATTGAGTGCATTGTGTCTGACATTGTATCGCTGAGTGATGCAATCTCAGCTTGCATCATAAAGGCTGCATCCAGATATTATGGTCTCTTTCTCCCACTTTGCTTCCAGTCTAATTACTGTCCTATCTATTAAGGCAAAAAAAAAAAAAAAACTAACAAAAAAACATGTAAATATATATATATATATATAGATTAAACATTTGTAATTTACTTTTAAACAAAATGTAATTTACATTTTGGGCGAGGCAGTGGTGCAGTAGGTAGTGCTGTCGCCTCACAGCAAAAAGGTCGCTGGTTCGAACCCCAGCTCAGTTGGCGTTTCTGTGTGGAGTTTGCATGTTCTCCCTGCATTCGCGTGGGTATCCTCAGGGTGCTCTGGTTTCCCCCACAGTCCAAACACATGCGGTACAGGTGAATTAGGTAGGCTAAATTGTCCGTAGTGTATGAGTGTGTGTGTGTGGATGTTTACCAGAGATGGGTTGCGGCTGGAAGGGCATCCGCTGTGTAAAAACGTGCTGGACAAGTTGGTGGTTCGTTTGGCTGTGGCGACCATGGATTTAAAAAGTGACTAAGCCGACAAGAAAATGAATGAATGAAATTACATTTTAATGATGACAAACATACGAATGAAAACTTTTAATAACTAAAAATAAAACATAAATTTTTTTTTTTTTAATTAGGCATCTAAAATACTCAATAAACTATTCATAAAATAACCAATGAAACAATAGCATCAATAATTATAAACAATAATAATAAAATAATCAATAAAATATGAAATATTTGTCACATTTCTAAGTCTATGAAAGATTTTGCGATAACACAATCCATATAGGATCACTGACTCTATAGTTCTGTAACTGGAAATGTTAAGATAAATAAATAAATAACTCTAACTAATGTGAAGAGTTCAGATGCAAAAACCTCTAAGTGCCGCCTGAATTTTTCTCCTTAAATTAGTATTTTTCTCGGTATAAGTTTTTACGTATAAGTTGAGTAGGTTCCCTTTTATGTCAATTAATTTGTTAGTTTCATTGCTTTTAATTAGTAGAAATAAATATAGGAGTCCCAGAAAAATGTTCATTTAAGAAGAAAATTTCAGATGGCACTCAGAGGCTCTTGCATATATATATATATATATATATATATATATATATATATATATATATATATATATATATATATATATATCCATATATATATATATATATATATAACGAAACTCCGATCATTGATAAACATCTACGATCATCACATGTTAAAATAAAAACAAAATTAAATACTAAAGTCATGTTTTACATTGGAAAAAGCAGGCTTTACCTGAGCATTAAAGTCTGTTCCTCTGTTCCTCAAGCTGAAGATTCACTAATGTGATAACATACCCGGGTTTTACTGCATTATAAAGCCTCATGCTGTAAACCATCATGTGACAGAACGTCAGGTGGAAGTTACAGCCATCACAAGACAAGCAAAGTCTAAACGGAGGAACTGTTGATGTGTGCAGGTGTGAACAGCCGAAAAACATCTCTCACTGTGAACGACTGACTATTAAAAGCCTAAAATCTCCCAGTAATACTGTGTGTTTGTGTATAAACAGTGAATAGTGACTATTCTATGGTTGCTAAGCTGTTGATAGTACTTACATTGTTGCTAAGGTGATTTGGATGGTTGCTAGGGTGTTACAAAGTGGTTGCTGTAATGTTATATTTCCTGGTGAACTGATGCATGTGTGCTATGGTATTTCATGTGTTTTCTAATGTTACTATGGTGATTAAGATGGTTGTCAGAGTGTTGCTAAGCAGTTGCTATGATCTTATAGTTCCTGGTGAACTGTTATGTGGTTGCTATGGTGTTTCATGTAATTGCTAAGGTGAAATGGGTGGTTGCTAAGCCGTTGGTATGGCGTTATAGTACCTGGAAAATCGTTGCTAAGGTGATTTGGATGGTTGCCAGGGTGCTACAAAGTGGTTGCTATGATCTTAATATTTCCTGGTGAACTGATATGTGGGTGTTTCATGTAATTGCTAATGTTACTATGGTGATTTAGGTGGTTGCCATGGTGTTTCTAAGATCTTAGAGTTGGTGAACTGTAATGTGATTGCTATGGTGTTTCGTGAGATTGTTAGGTGTTACTAAGGTGATCTGAGTGGTGATTTAGGTGGTTGCCAGGGTGTTTATAAGACCTTAATAGTTCCTGGTGAACTGTTATGTGGTTGCTATGGTGTTGCGGGTGATTGCTAAGGTTTTACTAAGGTGAGCTGCGTGGTCGCGAAGTCAATGGGATGTGTTATAGTACCTGGAACATCGTTGCTAAGGTGATTTGGATAGTTGCTGAGGTGTTACAAAAGTGGTTGCTATGATGTTAGAATTCCTGGTGAACTGATATGAGGTTGCTAAGGTATTTAATGTGTTTTTTAATGTTACTATGGTGATTTAGGTGGTTGCCAGGGTGTTCCTAAGATGGTATAGTTCCTGGTGAATTGTAATGTGACTGCTTAGGTGTTACTAAGGTAATGTAGATGGTTGGCAGAGTGTTACTAAGTAGTTGCTATGATGTTAGTTCTTGGTAAACTGATATGATATTATCAGTTTTTTAGAAATTGCTATGTTATTTCATGTGTTTTCTATTGTTACTATGGTGATTTAGGTGGTTATCAGGGTGTTCTTAAGCAGTTGTTATGACCGGTTCCTGCTGAATCATTATGTGGTTGCTTTGGTGTATCATGTGATTGCTAAGGTGTTACTCAGGTGATCTGGGTGGTTGCTAACTTGTTACGAGTTCCTGGAGATCAGGTGTGTTGTTGCTTTCATGTGACTGCTAGTGATGCTATGATGATTGGTCCTGGTGTGTGACTATGGTGCTTTATGTGTTTGCTAGTGTTGCAAAGGTAATTTGGGTGGTTGCTAGGGTGTTGCTAATCAGTTGCTATGGCATTGTTTTTGCTATGGTCTTCCAGCTCATCCCTGGAGTGTTGCTAAGATGATCTGGGCGGTTGTTAGGGTGTTCTTTGTTTGCTTCTAAAAGCGAATACATGCATACACATCACTGAATCAAATAAAAGTGTCAATATTTTTATTATTTCTAAATTTATATACAAACCAAACTCCCACATTACATAGCAATGCTAATTAACCCGATCTCCCGTATGTACACAGTTCTCACTAGCTTTTCCACTTAAAAGCTAAATAATAAGGACACTTTACTCTCGTACGTCCAGTAGAAACGTCAGGTTATTTGGTTGTTCGCTCCACAGTGATTGAACATTCAGACTGACCCAATGAGCATGGACCAACTCATGTGTACATTCTGAAAACATACATGATGAACGACAAATTTAAAAACACAACAACAACAAAAGAAAACGACTGGGTAATTAAGAAAATACTTGTAGACCACAGGGGTCAAAGCCAGTTCGTGGAGGGCCACAGGTCTGCACAGTTTAAGTTGCGGTGACACTAGAGTTTGAGCTTGCGAAATTCTGTCGTACGTTGCTGTGAAAAAGGTCGGGAACAAACAATATGGCCATTTAAAAGGCGAGCGATTGCTCCTTATTGTATATTCCTATCCAGCAGTACGTAATTTGTGTGTTGTCAGGTCCCGGAACAGATCGTGGTAACGAATCCGGCATGTTACCCGTGGATGAAGAGGTATAATTGTGTAGCAGGGGAGTGGGGTGTAGGTCTTTGGGAGTTGTCGGGGATAAAACTTAAGAGCCGGGGGTGGGGATGGTTTGGCTTGGCGTTGGATGGCGAAGGGGTGTCGCGGATGAAAGTGAAGAGTGACGGGCTTATCGGAGACGAAAGTGAATAGGGTTGGGGAGTCGTGGAAGAGAGTGAAAGTGAACGGAAGACAGAGGAGGAGGGCTGTTGAGAAGGAGGAACGGTGGTGGGGGGCGTTGGATGGCGGAGGGGTGTCGCGGACGAAAGTGAATAGGGTTGGGGAGTCACGGAAGAGAGTGAAAGTGAACAGCAGACGGGGGAGGAGGGCGGTTGAGAAGGGGGAGCGGTGGTGGTGGGGGGGTGTGGGGGATTGAGTTGGCTTGGCGTTAGACGGCGGAGGGGTGTCGCGGACGAAAGTGAATAGGGTTGGGGAGTCGCGGAAGAGAGTGAAAGTGAACAGCAGACGGGGGAAGAGGGCGGTTGAGAAGGGGGAACGGTAAAATGAGGTGCCAGATTAGATTTCAAAGGTGTCGGATCTGGAGTGTTCCGGCACAAATTAAGCCCTGCTGTCCAGAGAGGTCATGGTCTGATCCTCGATTGGTCTCTTGCAGTCACGTGATGTGATTTCGCAGGACGGAGTTCACCAAGCTTGAACTTTTAACGCAGTGAACTGTCAAATTTGACGCACGAGCTTGCGCTTCCGGTCTGATGCATTCGCATGCGTATGAATGGAAGTCTATGGGGAGTAAAGACCAACGTGACCGCAGCTTTAGTTCCAAAGCCCTAATTAAACACATCTGATCAAACTAACGGAGTCCTTCAGGCTTGTTCTAAACCGACTGATAAAGTTTTGCAGCGATAAGTGCGACAAGTTTGCTGCGTTGGAAAATTCAACCTTGGTGACCTGCGAAATGGCATCACTTGACTGCGTGAGACCATTCGAGGATCAAAACATGACCTCTCTAGACAGAAGTGTAAAATATAGACCAATCGCTCTCTTTTTTAAACGTCTAATCATCTTGTTTTATTCCGCCACTGTACGACAGAATTTCGCAGGCTTAAACTCTAGTGTGACCACAGATTAAGTGTGTTGACGCAGGGCAGGAGCTAACCTGCGTAGAGCTGTGGTTGTGCTTGACACCTGTGATGTAGACCATTAAGCGTTTGTATATTAGTGACACTATTTATTTATTTATATTTATATATATTTATATATATATATATATATATATATATATATATATATATATATATATATATATATATATATATATATATATATATCTCAGATATGTACATATGAAAATAGTGTCACTAACATTACATAAAATGTTTATTTTAATTATATAATAATATTTAATATTTTAACATTTTAAACGATATAATGATGTCTGGACGTCTGAATCTACAGGGTGGGCCATTTATATGGATACACCTTAATAAAATGGGAATGTTTGGTGATATTAACGTCCTGTTTGTGGCACATTAGTACATGTGAGGAGGCAAACTTTTCAAGATGGGTGGTGGCCATTTTGAAGTCGGCCATCTTGGATCCAACTTTTGTTTTTTCAATAGGACGAGGGTCATGTGACACATCAAACTCATTGGGAATTTCACAAGAAAAACAATGGTGTGATTGGTTTCAACGTAACTCTTTTCTTTCAAGAGTTATTTACAAGTTTCTGACCACTTATAAAATGTGTTCAATGAGCTGCCCATCGTAGTTTTACCATATTGTATACTATATTGTGTGAAGATACAAGATGTGCAGCACCTGAAACTACGGATACTGGAAGCCTGTGCTGGCATTTCTCCTGAAGTGTGGCTATCAGTGTGTGGAGAGTGGGAGAAGAGGGCTGCATTGACAATCCAGCACAATGGGCAGCACATTGAACACATTTTATAAGTGGTCAGAAACGTGTAAATAACTCCTAAAAGAATGAAATTACGTTAAAACCAAGCATACCATTGCTTTTCCTGTGAAATTCCCAATCAGTTTGATGGGTCACATGACCCTTTTCCTATTGAAAAAACTAAAGTTGGATCCAAGATGGCCGACTTCAAAATGGCCACCACCCATCTTGAAAACTATGACACCTCACATAAACTAATTTGCCACAAATGGGACGTTAATATCACCAACCATTCCCATTTTATTAAGATGAGTCCATATAAATGGCCCACCCTGTATATGTGAACATTTAAAGTCTGTTGGGCGGAAACTATAGATTTCTGTGCATGCATGCTTGATTTTTAGGATGTTTTGATTAAAATGGGGGAAAAATATAAATAAATCAAAAGAAAAAAAACATCCGAATAATTTCTAGTCTCACACATCCATCAGATGCACTAACGCAAACCAACATGACACGAATGAACTCATAAAACAGTCAGTCATATATATTATACACACGTCATACATATACATATATATAATATATGATCATGAATGCTTCACGAGGTCCAGTGAAGCAGCTAAAACGCCTCAGATTTGAGTGTGTGTGTTGTGTTTGTTCATGTGTGTTCTCAGTGTCCCTGCATGTCGGCGCCCCCTGCTGGTCCGGCGGTGGTGTTCAGGTATTGCCAGCTGAGTGCCGCCAGGATCATGGCCGCAGACACGCACACAGGAGAGATGTGGTGGTGTGCGCGGGATGACACACACCCCTCGTGCACACTCTTCTCTCGGATCACACTCAGGATCTGCAGCGTCTTCTCCCGCGACGGGTCTGAGATGGAAACTTTCTGCAGGATCTGTGGAGGAGACGCGGGATTACTGAGCGGGATTAGGATTAGCTGAGTGAACAGATTATCCACTCGATGAAGTGTGACAGTGAGCTCTGATTGGCCACAGCTGATAGAGTGAGCTCTGATTGGCCAGCTGATGCACTTAGCACTGATTGATCATAGTTGATTTGTTGAGCTCTTATTGGCCACATCTGATACAATAAGCTCTGATTGGCCAGCTGATGAATTGAGCCTTATTTGATCAGCTGATACAGTGAGCACTGAGCTCTGATTGGCCACAGCAGATACAGTGAACTCTGATTGGCCACAGCTGATTCAGTGAGTTCTGATTGGCCACAGCTAATAAGTGAGCTCTGATTGACCACAGCTGATACAGTGAACTCTGATTGGCTGGCAAATACACTTAGCTATGATTGGCCACAGCTGATACAGTGAGATCTGAATGGTCAGCCGATAATGTGAGCTCTGATTGGCCACACTTAATACAATGAGCTCTGATTGAACACAGCTGATACACTGAACTCTGATTGGCTAGCTAATACACTTCGCTATGATTGGCCACAGCTGATAAAGTGAGCTCTAATTGGTCAGTGATACACTTAGCTCTGATTGATCATTGCTGATACGGTGAGCTCTGATTGGCCACAGCTGATACGTTGAGCTCTGATTGGCCACAACTCATACAGTGAGCTCCAATTGACCGGCTGATACAGCTAGCTCTGATTGGCCACAGCTGACACAGTGAGCTCTGACTGGCCACAGTTGACACAGTGAGCTCTGATTGGCCACAGCTGATACGCTAAACTCTGATTGACCACAGCTGATACAGTGAACTCTGATTGGCTGGCAAATACACTTAGCTATGATTGGCCACAGCTGATACAGTGAGATCTGAATGGTCAGCCGATAATGTGAGCTCTGATTGGCCACACTTAATACAATGAGCTCTGATTGAACACAGCTGATACACTGAACTCTGATTGGCTAGCTAATACACTTCGCTATGATTGGCCACAGCTGATAAAGTGAGCTCTAATTGGTCAGTGATACACTTAGCTCTGATTGATCATTGCTGATACGGTGAGCTCTGATTGGCCACAGCTGATACGTTGAGCTCTGATTGGCCACAACTCATACAGTGAGCTCCAATTGACCGGCTGATACAGCTAGCTCTGATTGGCCACAGCTGACACAGTGAGCTCTGACTGGCCACAGTTGACACAGTGAGCTCTGACTGGCCACAGTTGACACAGTGAGCTCTGATTGGCCACAGCTGATGCACTGAGCTCTGACTCGTCAGCTGATAATGAGAGCTCTGATTGGCCACAGCTGATACAGTGAGCTCTGATTTGTCAGCTGATAATGAAAGCTCTGATTGGCCACAGCTGATACACTGAGCTCTGATTTGTCAGCTGATAATGAAAGCTTGATTGGCCACAGCTGATGCACTGAGCTCTGATTTGTCTGCTGATAATGAGAGCTCTGATTGGCCACAGCTGATACACTGAGCTCTGATTTGTCAGCTAATAATGAGAGCTCTGGTTGGCCACAGATGATACAGTGAGCTCTGATTGGTCACCCCTAAAATAGTGAGCTCTCATTGGCCACAGCAGATACTGTGAGCTCTGACTGGCCACAGCTGAACCAGTGAGGAGTGACTGGCCAATTTTAACAATAAGCTCTGATTGGCCACAGCTGATACATGGGGCTGTTGATTGGCCACAGCTGATACACTGAGCTCTGATTGGCCAGCTGCACATACATTCATCCTAAATGTGGGCCTGCCTACGTTGATTTGATCAGTATCTGAGTATCTACTCTTTATCTAGTGGTTGTATTGATGATTATGATGATGATGATGAATGTTTTATTTATTGCAATGCTAGTAACAAAGGCTATTTTCATGGCAAGAGCGATTACCTCGTGGCTGTACTGTGTTATAATGCTGTAAACGGCGCTCATGTTTGTGGCCTGCATCATGAGCGTCACCGCCTGGCCCTTCCGGATCTTCACCACACCCTGAAACACCTGAGGATTGTTGTAGCAGGCAGAAAGAGTCGCGATCGCCATCACCTGAACACACAACAACAACCGTCAGCATCACACTAGGAAAACTACAGTCTATTGAGCTTATTATTGACATATGATTACTTCCGTTGATTATAAGAGGTTAAAAACAGCTCGTTCTGCTGCTTGATGTTGCAGTGATGAACAAAAATGTTTGTAGATGACGTGGTAGACTGATTTCTGCAGTTTATTATTGCTAGATAATTCTCAAATAGGCACTTATGCATGGCAAAATAAGGTAAATACTGAAGTCAGACGCAGAATTACACCTCTGTACTGAATGATCACCGCATTCATATCCAACATATTATTCACATGCAGATAACATCGATATTTGTTCATGTTTGACATTTTAAAAGAGTGTTGATTTAATGTGTGTGTGACCTGTGGAATTGCGCAGAAGTTGAAGACGCTCTGGTTGCGCAGTCGGGACAGATACAGCATGACGTCCGGCACGTGTCTGAGCGCATCCGTGACCAGCAGATTCAGACAGGAGAGAGCAGAGCTGAGGTGCTGAGGCTGAGCCAGATCCTCCAGACCTGACGCATACTGACTCCACGCCTGCACACACATATAAATATATATATACACATTCAGAAACAGACAGACGAAACAAGGGTGAGTGATTACAGAAATGTAATTTGTGTGTGTTTTCAGTGAGTGTGTGTGTGAATCAAGGTTATAATAGTTTTAGATTTTTCATTAGTTTTAGTTTCTATTTCGTTTTGACTTTTCAGTCAGTTTTATTTAGTTTAAGGGTGCTTTCACATCTGTAGTTCGCTTCATTTGGTCTGGATCAAGGGTAATAAATGATTCATTGTTGCATCTTCTGCCGGCTTTGGGTGGTTTTCACACCACACTGCTGGCTTTGGTCCGAACCAGTTGAAACGAACCAAAATGCAGTCATCTGACAAAATCCACATCTCTCATTGGCCAGATGTTGTTGAGCATATTTCCTAAACTGCTTATTGATTGGTCAGAATTCACGTGCGGGAAAATGCCAGTGAACTCCCGCAGGTAAACAAAACCTTTTACTCTGGAGGGACGACTGCGCTGCTGATTGTATGACTGCTTTAGACAAACTATACATTACGAGAATGAAGCGCGGCTGGAAAACAGTGTTTAATGCATCGCTCATCACTTCAGGAGGAGCCGTGAATTAATTTAGCTAAACTGCGACATGCTCATCTTGCGGAAATATTACCAACGATCCATCAGGTAATGTTTTCCTCTCTCTCTCTCTCTCTCTCTGTTGGTAAAGCGCTGTCAACAAATATTTTCCTCCATATCCCATAATGCACAGCGCATCGGCCTACGGCAGCTGAATTAGTCCAAAAGGCGCAGTACTTTTTGTGGTTGGACCTGTTTTAATACGGATCATATTCTCACCACAAACGAATGGCTCTAGGGTTCGATTGAAAGCGGACTGAGACCACCTCTTCAAGCAGGTCTCGGTACGCTTATTTGGTCCGCATTTGGTGCGCACTCGAGTACGATTGCTGCATTCTCACCTGCCCAAACGAACCGCACCAAAAGGGGAAACGATCTCTACTGCGATTCAATCGAACTAAACAAGGCAGGTGTGAAAGCACCCTTAAAGGCAGATTTACTAATTTAATTAGTTTCTATATTTTGAAAATATCTAGTTTTAGTTTAGTTTTTATTAGTTTCAGTTTTTTTCTAAATGAGGATATTTGTTAGGTGCAAGATTCAAAATCAACAGGATAAATATTGGATAATTAAAACTCAGTCATACATTTTTTGAATCGTGTATTCAGAGGACACCATCATCTACCACAACCATCTCCCCATCCTCAAACTCAAATACAGCAGCCCACAGGACAGCAGCCTGAAGTACAATATGTGTGCAAGACTGCTCTGAGGTTAGACACACAGTAGTGATGGGAAGTTCAGATCTTTAACGCGGATGTTTGGACTCAACATTATGTAGTCAGCAATAGTCATTTCAGTCAGTTAAAACATCAGCATGATCTGAAAAATGTCTTACGCCTGTTTCACACCGCAAGCGTCAGCGGCGCGTGAGCAGAGCGTGAGCAGCGCGTATGTCGAGCAGTAGCAGCACGCAGGCGTTTGCCTTTCACACCAGCTGCGTCTGCAGCGCGCAGCTCTTCGGCAGCTGCTGCTGAGATCAACCTATCTCTGTCTATTCTATCTAGTTACCCCTCTATATACAAATACACTTTTTAAACTTTTCATCTGCACCAAGGCCCCTCCTATGCTGTTTCATTAACCTGCAAATGTTTATTTTACAATTTTTATAGATCAAATAGTGCTGTATGCTTCTAAAGCTAACTTATGAGAATTGTCTACAGTCAGAAGACAATCGCCTGTGATATCATGTCATTTGTTTTTTGATTATCAGGTTGCTGTAGACCTAGTTATAATCATATTTATACAATATAGTTATAATAATATTTATACTTGATCAAACTAGTGTTAATTTCTCCGCTTTAGTGATGTCCAGCGGCAGAATAACAGCTCGTTAATTCATGCTCGTGCAGATGATGAGACGGACAAAAGTAATTAATGCATGCCATTCTTTTACTTATTTTCGTGTTGTCAGATTCACAGTGCAAACAGCTCCCGGTAGGAATAATTCGAGTGAACATAAAACAAAGCCGATTAAAACTTTCTTGCTCTGCTAGCTGCACAGAACACAGCGAGCTCACATAATCCAGCATGCGTGTCGAACTACACTACCCACAATACACTTCGCTATGGACTACAAATCCCGTACATATTCTATTTCCCCTCTCCTACAACACTAGTGTGCAACTTAAGCAAAACTGATAGTAAAATAGTTTTACATTTGGTTTTGTAGTTCGGGCCTAAATAAATGTTTGTTGCCGTTTTTAATCGTTTTAAGTTCATTTGAATGACTATATATAAACCATTTGACATTATTAACGTATTTATTGGGTAAAATTGTTAGTTTTTACTGTCATTCGATGTGTTTTGGTCATTATCAATGCACTGTCACTTTAATTGAGCGTGAGCAGCGCGTCAAAAATAGACCCAGCGCCGAAACTATCGCTGCACTGCTGCTTCGGCGACGCTCACGCCTCGCTCTGACGCGCTGCTGCTGCGTGCGGTATGAAAGCTCTAATCTGTTAACATGGACGCCGAAAACACACGCGCTGCTCACGCTCTGCTCACGCGCCGCTGACGCTTGCGGTGTGAAACAGGCGTTACAGTAAAGTTTTGCAACCCAACTGAATCATGATTCACTTATTTAAATTACATTACGACTTTCTGTTATGAACTAAACTTACGTTTTTCACCAGATCCTCTCATTTAAGCCCTCGGTTTACCCGCGCTGCTGTTGTTTAAGTTTAGTTCAGTCACACAGCAGGCTGCACTGTTTGTGTTTGGTTCACTGAATCACGCATGCGCAGTATCATCTGTTACCCGCCTCTCAGTGTAATGTTACTGTTCTAATAACTGCATGAGAGTATATATTGGATTATTTAGAGTCAGATGGGGTATTAGGCTTGTTATAAAGTAAGTAGTTTGTGGATGAGTGCTTACTGGAGACGCGAATCGTTTCAAATGATTCAGTTCGATTTGGTGAACTAGTTCAACTGGTTCACTTAGAAGATCCGGTAAAAAGAATTGTTCGCGATCACAATACTGAAATAAAACCCAATATCGGGCACAAATGTGTTAAAGTAATAGTTTAAAGTGTCTGTATTTAATGCTGTCACCGTGCTGCTGTCATGTCCACTCGTTGCTTTTGTCGCAGGAGCAACAGCGAGGAAGACTGCAGGAGAACCGGCTCGATCTGGCCAATGGCAGCAGGAGTACAGACTCTGAGGTGCCGCACGAGTCAAACACCTGCAGCGTGGATTATATTTACTTTTAAACGGCTCACAGTAAGATTATGTATAAATACATTCACAAATACGAAAACAAAGGAGATTTTTGCTATAATTTTTATTAGTTTCAGATAGTTTTGTATATACACAATACAGTTTCAGTTAGCTCTAGTTTAAAAAAAAAAAACTCTCGTTTCTATTTTTATTTCAGTTAACGACAAATATTTTACATTTTAGTTTTCATTATTTCATTCGTTTACTTTAACTATAATAACTAGCGTAGCTGTGTGTGTGTGTGTTTGAGTGAGAGAATGTGTTGGTGTACATGTGTGCGTGCATGAGAGTGTGTGAGTAACTGTGTGTGTATGTGAGTGTGCATGTGTGCATGAGAAAAAGTGTGTGTAGCTAAGAGTGTGTGTGTGTGTGTGTGAAAGATTGTGTTTGTATGTATATATGCGTATCAGTAAGTGTGTGTGTATTAGTGATGTGCGGATGGCGGTTATATCCGCGGGCGCTGTGGATAATCCACGGGTCGGGTAATAAAAAATACATTATGATTAATTGCGGGTCTGTTGTGGGTGGATGTAGCGGGACATGGCAATTGACCAACGAAAAAGCAGAGTGGGCTTTGCAAAATGGGAAGACGAGACGCCCAAAATAATGGATGAAGTGCAAGAGAACTGTTCACACTGCAAAAAATGCTTTTCTTGCTTTCTTTTCTTACTCTTAATTTTTTGTCTTGTTTCTAGTCCAAAAATCTAAAACTTCCTAAATCAAGAGGAATTTTCTAGACAAACTAAACATATTGTCTTGTTTTAAGATATAATATGCCAATATTAAGTGAGTTTTTCCTTAAAACAAGCAAAATAATCTGCCAATGGGGTAAGCAAAATAATCTTACATCAAAAGAAAAAACAAGATTATTTTGCTGACCCCATTGGCAGATTATTTTGCTTGTTTTAAGGAAAAACTCACTCAATATTGGCATATTAGATCTCAAAACAAGACTATGTTTAGCATGTCTAGAAAATGCTTCTTGATATAAGAAATTTTAGATATTTGGACTAGAAACAAGACCCAAAATCTAAGCAAGTAAAGCTTTTTTTTTGCAGTGCAAAGTTTCAGTTAGAGGAGTCATCAGAGGAAAATCTGCTCTCGTTCTGGGAGAAACCAGATCGCTTATTTCCACAACTCCAGCATCTTGTGCTTTCTTACAACAAGCGGTGTGAGCGAACGCTCATTCAGTGCAGCTGTCCGTGTTTTGGAGGCGAGGCGGAATCGCCTGAATTCAAGCGCAGTAGATGCTGTTCTGTTTTTGCACAGTGCAAAGAGAAAGGCTAAGTGAACACAACAGCTGCCGTTTCGGCTGAAGTGGCCCCCTTTCTGTTATCTTGTTTCTGTAAAAGCTGAAAGTCTTATTTGTTCTTTCTGTATTTGAAAATGAAGAAAATGTCGTCTAAAGACAAACTTCTGCTTTTATAAATAAAACGTTTACGATTAACGCACAATATCAGAGATGCGCAGATTAAAGCTCACTGAATCTGCTGTTATTATCCACGGTGGCCTATCATCTATGGAAGCATACGAGTAGCATAATTCAATTCAAAATGTAATATGCAAAATGGCAATGCAATATGTTAAATGGCAATGTATTTCTGTATTTGAATTTGCATTTTCCAAGACATATGAGCAATGTTTGGTGCAGAATGAAAATGTAAATTAAATTACATTGTTTGCATTTCTCATTTCAAACACTGTTTTAATATGTAAATTGTATCCACATTTTAAAGCTTTATAAGTAGCTAAATTAAATTGAAAATGCTATACAAAAACTTAATTTGATGTGAATAAAGTACAAGCAGAAACTGTAGCAAAATGATAATTTAAATGTTATTTGTCCTAAATGCATTTACGCTCGCGTCTAGGAAGCGCAGGATTACATTTTCAGCATAACAGCATGGGATGTGTGTAGCAAAATTAATTTTGAAATGTAATACGCAAAACGATAATGCAGTATGTAAAAGGCAGTGTATTTCTGCATTTCAATTAGCATTTTCCAAGACATATGTGCAATGTTTGCTGCAGAATGAAAATGAAAATGAAAAAAAAAACATAATGCATTTTCATTTAACACATCGCGACGAATGAAAGCCAATTTGAAATTGAAAATGCATTCTGGCCTGGCCACGCCCACAGACGGCCGCCGTTGCTGCCAGGCGGGTTTTAGGTTATGTCGTCACAGCTGCCGCGAGGACTATTAGGGACATTTGGCAGCATAAACATGGCGAAGTCTGTTCCTCAGCAGCTTCGTGAAGCTGCACGAGCCCTCGAGCTTGAACTGGGAAATAGTTTAGAAAACCAATCACCTCCTAGCTCAGTAAACTTGGCTTAAGGTTTGATATTCGCGCACGCAGTTTTAGGGATCATCTGCAAATTACATCGACAGAACCTAAAGGGGCTTTAGCTGATGTGTACTGTATGCTTATGACAAGAGCTATTGCCTATTTCTGCATTGTATGTACCATATAGTTAGAGGTATAGTAGCTTTGCTACCTGTATTAAATCAGTCTGGCCTCTAACCATTTATTGGAATCTCCTCAATTTTTTTCTGCTTTGCGTTACTGTGCGTTTTGGTTCTGTTGATGTAAATCGCAGATGATCCCTAAAACTGCGTGCGCGAATATCAAACCTAAGGCCAAGTTTACTGAGCTAGGAGGTGATTGGTTTTCTAAAGTATTTCCCAGTTCACGCTCGAGGGCTCGTGCAGCTTCACGAAGCCGCTGAGGAACAGACATCGCCATGCCTCGCGGCAGCTGTGACGACATAACCTAAAACCCGCCTTGCAGCAACGGTGGCCGTCTGTGGGCGTGGCCAGGCCAGAATGCATTTTCAATTTCAAATTGGCTTTCATTCGTCGCGATGTGTTAAATGAAAATGCATTATGTTTTTTTTTATTTTTCATTTTCATTCTGCAGCAAACATTGCACATATGTCTTGGAAAATGCTAACTGAAATACAGAAATACACTGCCTTTTACATATTGCATTATCGTTTTGCATTTTACATTTCAAAATTAATTTTGCTACACACATCCCATGCTGTTATGCTGAAAATGTAATCCTGCGTTTCCTAGACGCGAGTGTAAATGCATTTAGGACAAATAACATTTAAATTATCATTTTGCTACAGTTTCTGCTTGTACTTTATTCACATCAAATTAAGTTTGTGTATAGCATTTTCAATTTAATTTTGCTACTTATAAAGCTTTAAAATGTGGATACAATTTACATATTAAAACAGTGTTTGAAATGAGAAATGCAAACAATGTAATTTAATTTACATTTTCATTCTGCACCAAACATTGCTCATATGTCTTGGAAAATGCAAATTCAAATACAGAAATACATTGCCATTTAACATATTGCATTGCCATTTTGCATATTACATTTTGAATTGAATTATGCTACTCGTATGCTTCCATAATCATCATGCCTAAAACTAAGAATTAAATTATTAAAGTGACGATCGGGTGCGGATACATTTATCAGATAAAACTATATGCGCTGGCAGGTGGATGATTAATATGACGCCGTGGATTCGGGTGTCATTTCAGCTCATCCGCAGTGTATATGTTGATGTGTGTGTGTGTGTGTGTACCTCCTCTGGCCAGAACGCTCTCCCCTGCTGCTGGTCCTCCAGATAATCTCTGATGATGTTGGTCTTCTGCAGGAACAGACCCATAGAGTTGGCCAGCTCTGTGTCCCGGCCCACCTCCGGCTCCTCCAGCTGGGATGCGGAGAACAGCCGGGAGAGCCCGATGCCCACCAGCCCCGCCACATAATGACAGTACTGCGGAGACACATGCAGACACGTCAAACACAAATAATTAAAGAGATAGCATTCCACCTTTTCCAAAGCCACATTTAAAGTACACATGACATCAAATCTAACCATATTGATTTGGTCAGCTCACATTGCCAGTTTTGTGCTGAACAATTCATCTGTGCATGTCATTAAGAAAAATAAATAGCTTGTCCTTGTAATCATTAATTGCAATCTGAAAATGCACTTCCTGTTAGTGTTCAGTTCAATTGTCAGATTATGTATTGGGCGTGGCTAACATACTTAACCACGCCTCTTTGTCAGTGCCATGACAACAAACAGTTTTGGTGGGGAGGAGGAGTCTGTTAGGTTGCATTAAAGCGTCACGAAACACCAAAACACATGTGTTTGAGCTGTTGACAGTGGTATATGTGTCCCACACTGCTAAAAACACTATTAGGACACCTATATTTTACTAAAAAGTGTAAATTGGTTGTTTTTGCGTTATTTCAAGCAAATTCGTACTTCCTGTTTGAAACGAATTTTTGAAGCTGCGTCACGGTCATGACATAATAGCGTGTATTCCAGCGTGCAGACTGGACGTCTGTGCCAGAGTGAGTCTTATTACGTCTTACAGTGTGCTGCATTAATGCATGAGTAAGGCTCGGTTCAATCCAATCAGCGCGCTCTATTGTGCACCTTCATTAATATTCATTACTGTCACAGTGTTCAGACGACAGAGACGCCACGTTGTGTTGGCAAAACAAGCGTGAAGTGTTGCTTTTATAGTCTGCTGCAGTGAAGTTTTGTTTTCATTTTCTCTCTGTGAGAGCTCAGCTGGAGTCACGTGTGGATTAACAGTGTACGCGACGCTCGACAACAATAACTTACGTGTCTAAGGAGGATTATTGTTTACCTGAGAGCTGTTCTCATCTGCAAACGCTGAGATCCGGATTGGCTTGTAGTCTCCTCTTCATAAAGACGCGGCTCTAGTTGCTGGTGATTGTCCTGTCTCTACAGATTTGGTAAGTGAGCGACCAGCGATCTTTGTTTATTCAGTTCGTATTTTATTCGTATCGAACTAACTACTGCACCGAGTGTAAACATGTTAGCACCACAACCAAACTTTAACCTCGTGTAGGATTTTCACCGCATTTAGTGACCGGAATAACACACGCGGCTTTCTGACGCTACCTGCCGTGTGCATCTAAGTTTCCGGGAAATGCAGAGGTTTTTTTTCTCTCATTCGCCGTGCGGTATCAAACATTGCATGAAAAATACACGCTTAGAGCAGATCCTCAAATCAAATATCTCGTTTGTCGCGAGGGGCATGAATGAATTCCCTGAATGAAAGAGCCAAACTGCAGTTAAAGTCCACCATTTAATAATCTGGCAAATAATTCGACTACAGATGTCCATGTAAACACAGTCACTTTGTCCGCTGTGGTTGTGTGTTTTGACTCTGAAACTCAGCGCGTGCCCAAATAGACACTCCCACACCCTCCCACTTTTCTTCCTCCGACACTCCCCCCTAAACAGAGCTGGACACGCCCACTTTTCTGACTTTTTCCAAAGTAGAGGTGTGAAAACTCCTGCAGAAACGAGGGGGCTTCATGGCCCTTTAACTCTCCCCAAACCCTTTTCCCCATCTTTCTGAATGACACGCCTACTTTACTACATCCAATCAGCTCGCAGTAAAAAACAAGCAACGCCCACTGTGTCCTCATTTAATATTCCATTTCTCTAGGAACTGCATCACAATACAAAAAACAGTCACAGCTTCAGGTTCATGTGGATTTTAAGCACTTTAAGCAATTTCCAGGCGCATTTTCCAACTTTTAAAGTGCGACAAATTACACTTGAAGTTGAAGTTATTCGTCCTCATGTGAATTTTCTTTTTTTTTATATATATATATTTCCCTAATAATGATTCCACGCATGTTCTCCGTGTGTTCGCGTGAGTTTCCTCCGGGTGCTCCGGTTTCCCCCACAGTCCAAAGACATGCGGTACAGGTGAATTGGGTAGGCTAAATTGTCTGTAGTGTGTGTGTGTGGATGTTTTCCAGAGATGGGTTGCGGCTGGAAGGGCATCCGCTGTGTAAAAACTTGCTGGATAAGTTGGCTGTTTATTCTGCTGTGGCGACCCCGGATTAATAAAGGGACTAAGCCGACAAGAAAATGAATGAATGAATGATTTCCACAGTATTTCCTATAATATCTACTGTGAAACGTGTCATTTTTATTGTTGATCATCAGTTGGCAGCATGAAACCTTTAGATCCTTTAGGCCTGTGCTGAAGAGTTTCAGTCTTTTATGAGGCGTTCAGTGGAGGAAAACAGCAGATTATAGCGTGTGCTGAAAATTTTACTGTGATCTAGCTCCCGGCTGTTAGTCCCCTCAGCTGTCAGATCTCCGCAACTCTCACATGGTCGCCCACTGAAGCTAAGCAGGGCTGCGCCCGGTCAGTACCTGGATGGGAGACCAGATGAGAAAGCTAGGTTGCTGTCAGAAGTGGTGTTAGTGAGGCCAGCAGGGGGCGCTCAACCTGTGGTCTGTGTGGGTCCTGACTCCCCAGTATAGTGACGGGGACTCTATACTGCTCAGTGAGTTTTGATTGAGAAGTTAAACTCTTTGTGGTCATTAAAAATCCCACAATGTCCAAAACAAGTAGGTGTTTAACCCCAGCATCCAGGTCAAATTTGTGCATTTGGCCTCTGAGTGTCCAGATAACCAGAAACTAAGCTATTTTTGCACTGTAACTGATGATCAACAGTATAAATTACGCATTATCCCTCTTAATCCCAACAGGGAAAACCAGAAACACTCAAGAATGCAAGATTATATGCTGTCAGGGCTTTACAATCAATAAATGCGATTATAAAGGATGTAGATCGGGCAAAAACAGCCCCAACATAACCAAAAGAGAGTCGATTTGCACAGCGTGTATTGTTGAGCTTTTTTAATTTTCAAAGCATTTTCTCAAAATACATGTCAAAATAAGATTTGCACCAAATATCATCTCATTTGCTGAAACACTGAGAAAGATGTGGCCAAATTAAGCCTCAAAATCAGCCGAGCATCAGTCCACTGTGTCCTATATGTTATGTAACTATAGGTGCACTTTTGAAACCTAAAATGGGAACACGTCACGTTGTTTTGTTAGTGTTAGATTAATTATTATATACGGATGATGCACGCTGGATGGGCTGTAGAACTGCCTCTGCTTCTACCCACTAAAGTAAAGCTTATTAAAACTAAAAATGCATTAGTGTGAACGGCTCCAACAGAAACAGCACTCGCAGCTCTTCTGCATCTGTTTCTGCTGAGTTATATGCATGTAAATCACGGTGAAGTTTACCTTGTCCCACTCTTTCATGGAAGAAACCTTCTTCTCCAGGAATTCAGCCATTCCTACACCCATCCGGTGGCAAATGTCTGAAATCACCTCCCGATACTCCTGACCCAAATTCCTGAACTCCACCGAAATCTGAGGGAAACAGAGCGTTAAAATGAATTAAAACACATTAAATTAGAATATTAAAGAAATAGAATGATCAGCAAAGTGACTGCAAACGTGAAAGTGTAATTGAAATGCAGCACACACAAAAATGAGGGGGAAGATAAATAAATGAATAACAAAAAATTGTAAAACTAAAACTAAATGGAACATAAATAAAACGTAATTTTTAAAGTGTTACTTTACTCATGTCAGCATCTTTGATATACTCAGTATGGCAGGCTAATGGCCGCCGAAGATCTGTCTCTCAGAAATTGTAAATATTTTAAAATAGGCACTATTCTTATAAATAAACTGCACAGTTACAATCTAAACTAAAGGTCTGCATTACCAGGGGACCAGACCAGGGGCCTCATGTATCAACGCTGCATACGCACAAAAACTTTGCGTACGCCAGGTTTCACGCTCAGAATCGCTCACGTTTGGATTTACCAACAATGAACTGAACGTGGGAATGTGCGCAGCTTCACGGCAGCTTTCTGGCTGGCGTACGCACATTTTTTGTTCGTGTCTGTTTTATTTCCGTTGGCGACTCCTAGAGGCAGTTGTGTTAAATTCCTCTCTACAAAGTGTCTGAGCCTTGCAATGGCAGCTGTATGAGACGGGTTCATCTAGCAGGTATATAAGGTTTCCATACCATACAGTTGACCAGCCAAACATTAAAGCACAATTTGCAGCGGTCGCCTGTTTTCCCAATGTAATCTGAGCTATCTACCGCACACACATTGCTATAAAGGCACTACCTGAAGATGAATTTGCATGCGTGAATCAGAAACATTTCCATTCAATAAATGTGCAAATAAAATATGATGCACAGACTTATTAATGATTCCTACTGGTCTTTCTCGTGATAAATAGTGGGCAAAATCTGATATGTAGCGGGGGAAAAAAGAAGAAAGAGTTCATCAGACGCTGGATTCGAGCCGAGTTTATGCTCGACCGTGTCAGTACATGATCACATGCGTCTTATGAGGTGCGCCACTGAGACTGCTAAGAGTACTGCAACATTTTACACCTATAAACCACACTATTTCTCTTTTAACTCCACAGTGCGATGTTCAGACCCAACTGTGTTAACCGCATCAGCTAAACTCTTCCACTCTATTTTTTTCTTTTGTTGTTAATTCTGGAGAACAAACTTGCAAATAACACCGCTTTTCTCTGGTCTACCTCCGAAAGCAGCACCTCCAATTCACATTCTGTTCAAAGTTTCTCTTCTTGCTTGCTTTTGCCGTTGCTTTTTCGTTGGGTTTTTTCCATTAGCATAGTCATTAGCATATTCATACGGGGGAGGAGGCAGGGAGGGGTTTTGTGCTCGTGCATGTTGCGCTCAGTTTCACGTTCATTCAGATGTACAAAAGAATATGTGTGAGATTCGGCGTACGCAGTGTTTCATACATCTGAATTTTTTTCTGCGTACGCACATTTACAGCTTTGTGCGTACGCAATGTTTTAGTAAGATTTCCACGCAAGTCTTCGTACATGAGGCCCCTGATTTCTGCGGCGCGGGAATAAATTTCCGAATAAAGGGCGGGAGCGGTCGGTAACTGGTTTAATTTTGGACGGGAGCAGGCGGTCCAACAATATCGCTCCCGACTTCCGAGCGAGCAAGTATGCGTATGTATGTGTGTGAATGAGACAGCTGCTGCGTTTAGCTTGTTTGTTGCTGTGTGTGTGTGTGTGTGTGTGTGTGTGTGTGTGTGTATGCGCCCGTGAATGAGAGGTGTGTTTGCGCGCGCGAATGAGAGAAAGAGCTTTGTGCTGTCTGTGTGTGTGTGTGTGTGTGTGGTGATGCCTATGTGTGTGTGTCACTTGGTTGGTGCTTATGTGTGTGCACGCGAATGAGAGGTGCGTGTGTGTGTGTGTGTGTGTGTGTGTTTGCGCGAAGAGAGAGCTTTGTGCTGTCTGTCTGTGTGTGTCACTTGCTTGGTGCTTATGTGTGTGTATGTGTGTTGATACAGATAGCTTGTTATAGGCTGTCCAGACTCCGTATTGCTGGGTGGTTTTCGGTTTTGTTCTCCGCCCCGCTCGTTAGCGGGAACGGGCGCAGCGGGTAGAAAACTATATAACGGGGCGGGTCGAGCAACAGGACAACAAATGCTGAATATAAGCGGGAGCGGTCAGGTTAGGGCTAAAACCTGGCGGGAGCGGGATTCAACATTTAGTCCCGTGCAGATCTCTAATCTAAACAATGACATTCTCAACTAAAAAAGCCTTAAAAGTACATTACGTTGCCCAATAGCTGCAATATTTGTCAAACTGTAGAGAGTCCTCTGCTTGTTGCTGACTATGGCAAAATATTGCACTGTTGCATAAATGTATATAATTCTACATGCATTCGTTCATTCATTTTCTTGTCGGCTTAGTCCCTTTATTAATCCGGGGTCGCCACAGCGGAATGAACCGCCAACTTATCCAGCATATGTTTTACACAGAGGATGCCTATCCAGCTGCAACCCATCACTGGGAAAAATCTATACACACTTATACACTATGGACAATTTAGCCTACCCAATTCACCTGTACCACATGTAGGCGACAGCACTACCCACTGCGCCACTGCGTCGCCCCAAAACTACATGCATCGTTTTTTTTTTTTTAATAACTGTATATTTAGTAGTAAGAAATAAAAGTTCTGCAGTGTTTCGAGTGTGTTGTTGATGTTGTACTGACGGTGGGGAAATCCTCCAGCACGCGCCGGTCCTTCTCTCTGCTCTGGCTGAAGCTCCACTCGGGCTGGTAGAGGAACGTGTGGAAGTCCTGCAGCAGCGGCAGCTTCTGCTCCAGCGGGATGCTCATATCATCCTCCACCGTATCCAGCGCTCGCAGAACCAGGTAGAAGATACACACCGCATGCCTGACACACACACTCACACATTTAAATGCACTTTCATTATATATACAATTTGCATAACATGCATTGGGTATGAAGGCTATTGTGTGGAGTACGCAGCTACGCCTGCTTAGAATATTCTTCAGTCTACATTGAAATAACAAATAAATGGATCTATTTAGGACATCACCTCAGACGGGTGAATCTATGATTTGTTTTTATTTGTGAAATGTTTTTATCTCATTTTTAGCTGCAATATCAATTAGCATTTTCAAGCAAATAATATAGTCTTGCGTTCCTCAAGGTCATGCCTGTATTCCTGCACTCAGATCATCCGTATTACCATTATTATCAATAGCAATATAATTATTGGGATATTAAACATTAAACTCCATGCACAATATAACAAAGCTTGCATTTTTATACACTACGCTTAATATAAACTATGGAAATGCAGGGTTTTGCTAAAATAAATGTCAAAACTATGAAATGTTATAGTTGAAATGTTATATTATAGAAAAAGTAAAAGGTCTATATGACAATCTAAAGTCACTTATAAAAGTAGTTAAATATGTTCCTTAGTTAAAGGAAAGTAATGTTAAAGTGTGTGTTATCTACTTTTAAAAGTGTAAAATAGGCTCAAAATTGTAACATATTACTTTATTCCCAACACATACGTGCATCACCGATTAGGCAAGCAGCAAAGGAATTTGCACAACTTTAGAGACTTTATAAACTAAACAAAAGTGTGTTCCTAAAGGGCATGCATGTACTCCTGCATTCAGTAAAGCACATTGTGCCATTCTTCTTAATAGTATAATTTAGGAAAAGTAATCTTTGCATATTTTAAGTAGTGAAATCCTATCAGCAGCCAATGACTATCAAAGTACAGCACTGTTCACAGTCAATTAAATAGTGCTAATGTTGTTTAATAGTCATATTGCATGCAATTTCAGACCAAATATTAAAAGTAGCATGGTAAACAATAGGGAGCATGTCACAAGTTGTCTCTCAACAAATGTGCAGATATAAAATCAACTTTACAGCAGTAAGAATTTGCACAACTTTAAAGACTTTCTAAACTTCTTAAACAGCAAAAGCTCGTGTTCCTCAAGGTCATGCATGTATTCCTGCACTCAGACCATCATCATTACTTATAATTATTAGGATATTAGATTGCATGCACAATATTACAAAACTTGCTTTTTTTTTATAAACTATGCCTAATATAAACTATGGAAAGTAGAGTTTTCCAAAAATAAATAATAAGGTCTATATGACAATCTAAAGTCACTTATAAAAGTAGTTAAATATGTTCCTTAGTTAAAGGAAAGTAATGTTAAAGTGTGTGTTATCTACTTTTAAAAGTGTAAAATAGGCTCAAAATTGTAACATATTACTTTATTCCCAATGTGCATCCCCGATTAGGCAAGCAGCGAAGGAATTTGCACAACTTTAGAGACTTTATAAACTAAACAAAAGTGTGTTCCTAAAAGGCATGCATGTACTCCTGCATTCAGTAAAGCACATTGTGCCATTCTTCTTAATAGTATAATTTAGGAAAAAGTAATCTTTGCATATTTTAAGTAGTGAAATCCTATCAGCAGCCAATCATTATCAAAGTACAGCACTGTTCACAGTCAATTAAATAGTGCTAATGCTGTTTAATAGTCATATTTGCATGCAATTTCAGACCAAATATTAAAAGTAGCATGGTAAACAATAGGGAGCATGGCAGAAGTTGTCTCTCAACAAATGTGCAAATATAAAATCAACTTTACAGCAGTAATAATAATACTTATTTACTTTACAATTACAATTTGCACAACTTTACAGACTTTCTAAACTTCTTAAAAAGCATTTAGATCATCATCATCATTATTATTATTATTAATAGCAATATAATTATAAGGATATGAAATATTAAACTGCATGCACAATATTACACAAACATGCTTGTTAGGTCTCATGTGGGAGCTGTTTCTTGTGGTTCTATTTTGTGATTTGCACAGCCTGCAAGGTTGCCTATTTGTGGGTGGGTCATCTCACCTAAGACCCATGTGGTGCCTATTAAAAGGTCCAACATTTGACATGAAAAGAGAGCTCAATTAGCCGGACCTCCCTACCTGGCATTTTGATTATTTTATTTCATTTAGTTTTGGATCATGAGCTCAGTTCTCTACCATGCACACGCTTTTCACTACTGACGTCCATTTAAACTGATTTGGATTGCTTGAAGTACTTTTGTTATTTATGCCGTTTTATTAATAAATCATTTCTCTTTTCTATTTACCTGCTCGGCATTGTCTCTAGTGTTACAATTTTGAGCTGGTTGTAACATGCTTTTTTATAGAATATGCTTAATATAACCTATGGAAATGTAGTGGTTTCCAAAAATAAATAACTATATAATACGTCTCAAGCTATGAAGTTGGTAGTTTTTTAGTCTCAGTGTTGGGGAAAAAGTAATAGGTCTATATTACAATCTAAAGTCACTTATAATAGTAGTTAAAGTAATAAAATATGTTCCTTAGTTAAAGGAAAGTAATGTTAAAGTGTGTGTTATGTTCTTTTAAAAGCGTGAAATAGGCTCAAAATTGTAACATGTTACTTTATTCCCAACACATACGTGCATCACCGATTAGGCAAGCAGCAAAGGAATTTGCACAACCCCAAAAGCGCGTGTTCCTAAAGGGCATGCATGTATTCCTGCATTCAGTAAAGCCCATTATGACGTTCTCCTTCATAGTATAATTTCAGAAAAGTAATCTTTGCATATTCTAAGTAGTGAAATCCTATCAGCAGCCAATGATTATCAAAGTACAGCACTGTTCAGTCAATTAAAAAGTTGTTTTCAAGTCATATTTGCATACAATTTCAGACCAAATATTAAAAGTAGCATGGTAAACAATAGGGAGCATGGCAAAAGTTGTCTCTCAACAAATGTGCAGATATAAAATCAACTTTACAGCAGTAAGAATTTGCACAACTTTAAAGACTTTCTAAACTTCTTAAACAGCAAAAGCTCGTGTTCCTCAAGGTCATGCATGTATTCCTGCACTCAGACCATCATCATTACTTATAATTATTAGGATATTAGATTGCACGCACAATATTACAAAACTTGCTTTTTTTTTTATAAACTATGCCTAATATAAACTATGGAAAGTAGAGTTTTCCAAAAATAAATAATAAGGTCTATATAACAATCTAAAGTCACTTATTAAAGTATCTAAATATGTTACTAAGTGCAATGAATGTTAAAGTGTGTGTTGTGTTATTTTTTTAACGAGCAAGACATTATTATAAGCTGCTTTTGACAAAATCTACATTGTAAAAGCGCTAAATTAATAATTTAATTATTAAAACGTTATTATTTTTCAACATGCACATGCATAAATTGAGGTAAAGTTGATTTTATATTCGCACACTCGTTCAGTGACAACTTGTGACAGGCTCCTTATATTGTTTACCACGAATATTCGGTCTGAAATGACATTCAGGTATTAGCAGTATTTAATTAACTGTCAACAATGTTGTACTTTGATAGTCATTTGCTGCTAATATGATTTCACTATATAATGTGCAAATATCACTTTGGTCTTCTGAAATTATATAAAGGAGAAAGTCAGAATGTGTAAATATAAAACCAGCTTTACCTTAATCATGCATCACTGATTACACTGATCACAAATGACTTTACAACTTTAGGACTTTGCACAACTTTAAAGACTTTCTAAACTTCTTAAAAACCAAAAGCGTGTGTTAAGGGCATGCATGTACTCCTGCATTATTGATGTAAAGCTAGTTTTATATTTACACATTCTGACTTTCTCCTTAATATAACTTTCGAAAAGGGATGTTTGCAAGTTCTAAATAGTGAAATCACATTAGCAGCCAATGGTTATCAAAGTACAACACTGTATACAGTCAAATAAATAGTGCTAATGTTGTTGTCAAGTCAAAGTTGCATGCGATTTCAGACCAAATCTTAAAAGTAGCATGGTAAACAATACAAGTTAGAGACCATGCTGCAAGTTGTCACTGAACGAATGTGTGCACATATAAAACCAACTTAACCTCAATAGGAAATTTGTTTTAAAGACATTCTGAACTTGCATGTGTTCCTCAAGGTCATGCATGTATTCCTGCACTCAGTAAAGCACATGTTTATCGGCGGAAAACGCGCAGCTGTTGCCCGGGCTCAGGCGCGCCTCTCCCGGCTGCACAGCGCAGCTCTTACCGCAGCTCCCCATCCAGGGCCTGGATCACCGCCGCGAAACTCCGGCTCGTCTGGTTCAGATAGGCGTAGCAGGTCCTCAGGGTGTCGCTCATGGAGTCCTGGCAGGAGAAACACACATTAGCTGGGTGTCTCAGAGCCCGAAGAGGGTGTGGAGCCCGAGCTGCCAACCGGGCCTCCAGCGCGCCGCTCCGCCCGGGACAGAGCACCGAACGCGGGGAGCGCAGCCACAGAGACCGCTTCAGCACGGAGAACGACACCGCGCTCTTCCCGCACACTCCAGCCATCAACAAACCAGCTCCTGCAGCCTTTGCACTTCTTTACAACTAATCCGTGCTATTGTTTACATGCAGAACTTTATTTTAAACGCGTCTGTCGGGCACTGAGGGGAAGTTATAAGCGCGTGCACCCGCCACAGCTGCGCGCTCCCGCACCACTGATATGTAAACAGAATAGCAGCACTTCAGCATTATTACTGGCTGCGATCTGACTCTCCTCCCCGGTTTTTATACTGGAAAACTCCAGCGTGCTCTTCTGTGAAACACTCAACAAGTCAAGTCTGGACACACCTCCAGCTGCAGGCCTGTTTTGCACATTACTTCATCAAAACCGTGTTGGAAAATGTAAAGACAGAGGCGCCCCTAGAAATTTTTCGTAGGGTTGCCAGATGAGGCCACACATCTTGGGATGGCACACAAAAAAATAAGGAATTCAGTGTAATATTTTTGGTTTTGGTAAATGGGATAGTGTGGTTTTAATTCATTTAATAACTCCTAAAACATTGCAATTTATTCCTTGAAATAATTCAGCAAGTACATGTGCAAATATAAGTCAACATTTAGTTTAAAACACTTTTCAGTTCAGTTAAATTTCACATACTTTTATTGTACAGCATACAGTACATGCCATGTCTAAAATTAAAGATTGATAAATTAATAAAACAGACAAATGAACAAACGGCATTACTACATACAAACACACTCCATATACAGACTCATTTCTCATAATATCATTTATCCATATTCCCTTTTGAGCCACAATATTATTATTACTACAGCTTTTTCTATTAATGTACCTTTTTGCAAAATACATGCACAAAATCACTGAGATTTCTGGCCCTTGTAAGTCAACAAGCAAAAATAGAGGTGCTAAATAAGATAAATACTTAAAAGTTGATTTTAAAATGCATTTATTTATTTGTTTATTTTGCATTTGTAATTTTTAATCTAATGAAACACAATTTTTAATTTCAAAAACAATATATTTTTTAATAAAAAATGTACAATCTTGTGAATTATGTTATTAGAAGTTTACCTGTATTTTCATTTGTTTAAAGATGTGTAGTATTCAAAAGCAAACGTTCTGTAGAAAAGCGAAAACATTAAGCAATGCAAACCGAACTGACCTAATTCTGGGCCTTGTTAAGTAACGTTAACACATTTAGTATTGAACTTGAAGGGTCAACATAGTATATAGAATAGTATGACATATAGTTGATGTCAAAATTATTCACCCCCTTTTGAATTTTCTCCTTTTTAAATATTTCCCAAATGATGTTGAACAGATTCAGGAAATTTTCACAGTATGTCTGATAATATTTTTTCTTCTGGAGAAAGTCTTATTTGTTTTATTTCGGCTGAAATAAAAGCAGTTTTTAATTTTTAAACACCATTTTAAGGTCAATATTATTAGCCCCTTTAAGCTATTTTTTCCAATAGTCTACAAAACAAACCATCATTATACAATAACTTGCCTAATTCCCCTAACCTGCCTAGTTACCCTAATTACCCTAGTGAAGCCTTTAAATGTCACTTTAAGCTGTATAGAAGTGTCTTGAAGAATATCTAGTCTAATATTATTTACTGTCATCATGACAAAGAGAAAATTAATCAGTTATTAGAGATGAGTTATTAAAACTATTATGATTAGAAATGTGTTGAAGAAATCTGCTCTCTGTTAAACAGAAATTGGAGAAAAAATAAACAGGGGGGCTAATAATTCAGGGGGGCTAATAATTCTGACTTCAACTTTATATACCCATTGCTGTCTGTTAAAGGTGTGAGCGTGCTGTCTACAACTATCGAGGAAAGTGACTTCGGTGACGCCAATCAATCTACAATAATTTAGTGGCTGCATTTTATTTATTTATTTTTATTTACTTAAATATTGTGAATTTACGTAAGTATTAAGGGTGTCACGATCCTCCAAATCCTCGATTCGATTACATTTTCGATTCTAAAGGCACGATTCGATTCGATTTTCGATTATGAATAATTAATTAATTAATGACCAATTAATTATTTGTAGCCTACTGTTTAACCTACCTGACCTGCATGGTCTTTGTTTTACCCATAAACAAATCATACAGTAAATGAATAAAGGTAAGATACACACATAATTACCACCTGTCAATCACTTTTTCTGCGGGACTCGTGAATAGGCAGTGATCTGTGTCGTTATAATGGCGTCGGTAAAAAAGACGCACAACCAACAGGAACCAGCCAACAGTATCTGAGGTGTTCACTAAAATGACTGAGTACAAGTGTGAAAGTGAAAGATTGAAGCAGTCCTCTGACTGCCTGGACCTGCTGTCTCGAGCGCATGGTTGTGTGTGCGTCTGTGTCTGTGTGGTCACGTGATGTGCATTTTCAGAGGTAGAGAGGAAGGAGGGCTGCTCAGAAATGCTACACGCCACTGTGGATGTCAAATCGTTGTTGTTCTAAAATGCCATTTAAAAACAAAGACAGTGTAAACAGGGCCTGACTGTGAACTTTTCGCGAGCGAATTTGCAGCAGGTGCGGGGCGGAGGATCGCGATGCCAGTGTTGTCTATCGGACGAACCGTACGTAATACGTACATAGCAGAGCTTGCAAAACTGTGTTTTTTTTGTCGACAACACAAACGTTGTCAACATAACTCACTGGAAATCCAAAATGCTTCCACACCGGCGACTTCATTGAAAGAGGAGAGGGTTTAAGCTCTGTCGACGGGTCTCCTGCTTCTGCAGTTTACTTCTGCAGTGTTTTTTTCCCGCTTGGCAAGCCAAGCTGACGTGACATGGGGGCGTGGCAGCATCGACGATTCTATTGTTTGATTCGATAATCGAAATTGAGCATAAATTTTGATCGATTTCGATTTGACACCCCTAGTAAGTATATTTAAAATAATAATATCAACAGCAAAATCATATTGGGGTGGCCACAGAGATTGCAAGAGTTTACACAAGGGAGGCCGTGGAGGTGCCCCTGTGTAAAGCCTGATTTATACTTCTGCGTCAAGTGACCGGCGTAACCCACGGCGCATGCAACGCACGCAGCTGTGCATTTATACTTCTGCTGTCTCTGTTGGTCTGCATTAACACTTCTGAAACGCTAGTTGGCAGTGAGGTGTAAATGTTCCTCTGTGTCGAGTTTCTTCGCTGCTGTTTTGCTTTTCCTGAACACTTCCGGGATGTCCAAGTGGCTCAAACTCGCTCATTTTGAGGCAGGAACTGGCGGACGTGCAACAAGTTTAACTATGAGGTAAACACAAAACAAAACTTTCCATCCGCAGCTCCTTCATGGGACTCCACACTTGTAAACAATCGCTCCATCAGGCTCGCGGCATTCACGCGGCTCTCAGTCCCGCCCAGACTCGTCAGCGCTACCAAGCCGACCAATCACTGAGCTTGCGCTACGCGTCGTGTAGTTACAATTTTTGAGAGGTGCACGTCAGCGACGCCGACGGCCACGGCAAAGGGCTATGCGTCAACGCCGTAGCATACGCCGGCGTTTGACGCAGAAGTATAAATCAGCCTTAAAGGCCTGGATCAAAACTTCTTTTCACGTGCACAATGACTGAACACAGGCACAGTGTTTTTTATTCTCAACAAGTGGACCTTGTTGACATTTATTCACTTCGTTTTGAAGTCATTCATCTTCTTGTCGGCTTAGTCCCTTTAATAATCCAGGGTCGCCACAGCGGAATGAACCGCCAACTTTTCCAGCAAGTTTTTACGCAGCGGATGCCCTTCCAGCCACAACCCATCTCTGGGAACTCGTTTTGATGTAAATACTCTATTTAAGAGACATTTTAAAGATATAGTTCATCCAAAAAATTAAAATTTACTCACTATTTACTCAGCCTCAAGTGAGCTTGACTTTCTTACTTCTGTTGAACACAATAGAAGATATTTTGAAAAAAACTGGACAGTAATTATTGACTTTATTTCGTACTATGGAAGTCTATGGTTACAGGTTTCCAGCTTTCTTCAAAATATCTGTTTCATTTTTATTTTAAATTTTGGACACCCGGGGTTTGATCTTCGTACCTCGCTTAAGATGATTTGGCAGATCCTGAATCTGTTCATCTTGATAACTGATCTCTCGCTAATTTGGTTCTTCAAACAAGTTCGAGAATCAGATTAAAATGTCTGGATGAACTGATCTGGGATCGCTGCGTGTCTTGTGAAGGACAGATCTATCCATCCTCGATATTATGATCAGCAATGCAACGATTGGCTGACGGCAGCGTAATGACATCATCTGATTAATATTCAATTATCCATGTGAGCAAAATTACATCAAATTCGCAGTAAACTGTTTGTTAAATATGACACGCAATAACTCTCCACATTTGTTGTGAGCTGCAGGCTTTACACTTTCATGTGTCAAGAGTATTCATCATGTATTTCCATGCATATCAATGGATTTAGTTCTACATTTAGACAAGTTTTTTTTTTTAATCATAGTAGCCTATAGGCCTACTCAAGGTTTTTTTAATCAGCGCATTTTTTTTAGGAGCTTTGATGTGGAGGCTGAAGTATGAGCAGGAGCGCTATCCTGCTGGAGAATTGTCCCTCTCCTGTGGTTTGTAATGTAATGGGCAGCACAAATGTCTTGATACCTCAGGCTGTTGATGTTGATCATCCACTGCAGATCTCTCGCACGGCCCAATTCTGATTGTAACCGAGAGGAGGAGTTTAAAATTAAACCCCGCCCCCTACTCAATATTCAGTTTCAGTCAGAAATGTGACATTACAGAAATAAACGTCTACAGTAACTTCTAGTTAATAAGGACGTCAAAGGGAGTTTCAACCCAAAATATTCCTCAGTATGTTTCCTCTTCTGTTCAACAGAACAAAGAAACTCAAACAGGTTTTGGAACAAGTCAAGGATGTATTTTCATTTTCAGATTTATTTTAAGGTTAGACAATCATTTAGTAACGTTTGGTAACGTTTTGGGTAATCTATCTATCGTGTTAGTCTATCCATCCATCCATCCATCTAAATATATATGCCTGTCCATCCATCCATCCATCCATCCATTCATCCATTCATCCATCTATCCATCCGTCTATCTATCTATCTATCTATCTATCTATCTATCTATCTATCTATCTATCTGTCTATCTATCTGTCTATCTGTCTATCTATCTATCTATCTATCTATCTATCTATCTATCTATCTATCTATCTATCTATCTATCTATCTATCTATCCATCCTTCTGTCTGTCTGTCTATCCATGTCTATTCATCTATCTATCCATTTATCTGTCCATCCATCCGTCTGTCCATCTGTCTATCCATCTATCTATCAACCTTTCCCTATCTATCTATCTATCTATCTATCTATCTATCTATCTATCTATCTATCTATCTATCTATCTATCTATCTATCTATCTATCTATCTATCTATCTATCTATCTATC